TTGTCATGGCAGACGGACAAATTGTCAGTGAAAAAATCGTCACATGTATGTTTTGATGCATACTCTTACAGGTCATTTGTGTACGTATATTTTATTGCAAACAGATTACGCTTGTATGACGATAATACAACATGTTATATAATGCTACTGTTGTAGATTTTTTTAAAGTGACAAGGAATTGGGATACATAAAATCAGTTTATTAGAATATCGAACGCGGTAACGACTTCTTATACAAGTTTAATTTGCATTTCACAAAATATTATTTTTAAATATTCTAAACAATGCTCACCATTCAATATTGTTTGTGTTTCGCATTGCATCTAGTCGGTGTAGTATAGGACCTATAGCATGTTGATTTCTTTTGTTCATGTTCGTCAGATGTATTAATATATCTGTATTGGTCATAGAAGCTATCTTGCGATTTCGCTCTATTTTTCAATCCGTAGATTTACCTGTTTAATTATTAAAGATAACTAAAGAGAGCAAACACATAATAGATAAATAATAATACTAATAATTCGATGTTCTTATACGCCGCTTTTTTACAACCTAGTTCGTAGGTCGTCTCAAAGCGGTTCACATATTAGTATACGTGGTTATAGGGCCTTTGCAACCAGCCAATATCTTCTCAACTCCCTGGGGAACATACAGCCGGTGCTGCCATTTCGGCGCTCACAGCTACATGTATCATTCAACAATTCTAGCACTGTCAAACCACTTACTTATTTACAGCTGTGTAGACTGGAACAAGCGGAGTAAACTATCTTGCTCAAAGATAAAACACAATGCCACATAATAACATGTAGTTTTAATTTCGTTGTCTAAAACAATCAAAAGTGGAAAATGAAAAAGTTCACAGTCACGAACATAATTTCAATTTAAGGGTAATATATCAAGTGAAGAACATGCATCAATTTGTGTCGTTAAGTTTCAATCAAACTAATCCTATTTACAAAATCAAGTTAATGGCAAGTGATTGGTCGCCAATTGAAATGGATTGTCAGAACCGTAACTAAATGTGACAGAGACCAAACGCTTTGATTCTTTGATTAAGCAATGCGCGGAGAGGTGTTACCCCTTGAAACACAACGAGCTTGGTTCACTTATAATGATTGTGTTGAGACAACTGTAGTACCTGAGGGCGGATTTGGATAAATGTTCTGGCAGCTACCAGGGTCATATGAAGACAGAAGACTAGGAACACACCGGCCGAAAGGAAAGAGTAGGGAAGTTAGAAATGAAAATTTAGACACCAAGTGTTGCAACCAGTTTTGGTTTCTACGTTGTCCCATTAACAGAGGAAACAGATGATGGGTGGATTGATCCCCGGCCTTCCCCGCAGGCGGCCGGGGATCGATCCCGGAAGTCTTCATCGCAAGGATATTCAGAGAACGTATTTTGTTGGAGTTGTGCGGGCAGGGGAAACCCATAAGTTGGTCTGGGGTGGATGTTGCGGTATCGGTGCTGTAGCATTCACTATAAATGATGCCGTTGGAAGCACGGTCCCACTACAAACAAAACACTTTACATCTCCAGCATACACGAATTGTCTGTAACCTAACGAAAACATCATTGAAAGAAAGCTAAAAATTAAATTAAATATAAATATCAGTCATAAAACAGTTATGCGTATATTTTCTGGCTAAAAATATCGCTTACTTGTCCTTCCCTCATTTGTTGTCTATGTACTTGACTTGCTTAAACACATGTATTACACTACATTAGTAACGTGACGTAACATTGTATACAGGTTTATTATACCAATAAGTGCATCTGTTTACTTTGGCCTGTTGAGACACTAACATCTGTATACAAGATCGACCAATCAGTGACGAAACTAACATCTGTATACAAGATCGACCAATCAGTGACGAAACTCACAGATGTTTACAAGATCGACCAATTATTGACGACACTAACATCTGTGTACAAGATCGACCAATTTTGACGGCACAAACATCTGTGTACAAGACCGACCAATTTTGACGACACTCACAACAGTGCACATGCAAGACCAATCCGATGGCACCCATACTTGTCTGCAAGACCAATTTTTAACGACACCTACCACTGTGTGTAAGCAGGACCAAATCCTGACGACACTGAGCACATGTCTACAAGCTAAAAATACACCAGAAAACCAGACGTCAGACAACTGTCTTCAACACATACGTACTCTTGACAACGCATACTAACTTTCTACAAGCAACCTCCTTAAGAAATACTCGAGGACAATCTATAAGCTAAACAAATGCTTGAAGACCCTAGACAACTGTTAACAAATTACACCAACTACTGACGACACTAAACAATTTTCTACAAGCTAAACACATATTCAAGGACAACAGACAACTGTTTACAAGTTAAACCAATATTTCATAACGCCAGACAATTGTCTACAAGCTAAACCAATTATTTTCGACTTTTCATCAAAGATCATTTCCTTGTTCAGAACTATGTTAACAACAGTAAAAACAGTTACATAAGAAGGAAGTTTGAAGTTGATTGGAGAAAATGGAAACCTATCCTGGAAATATAACCTGTCATCCTATAAATATGTATTTTTTTCCTGAATCCCAAGCCTTAACTTTGCCATTTTTCTTTTAAATTACGTATGTACTTCTGAAAAAAGTAAAACTATTTACATGTATGTGCATTATTATGGGACCTCTCTCTCTCTCTCTCTCTCTCTCTCTCTGGTAAGCAGGTTAGTATGATGTATGTGTGTGGGAGGTGTATGTTTATCCGAATATATGGTGGGATGAGTATTTGTGTATGGTTGTCAATATCTATTTATATATATATTAGAACATATATATTGATGGTAGCAATGATGATACATTGATGATGATGATGTATTGAAAATTATGATTTTGCATTAATGGTGATGAAGATTTATTGACGAGGACGATGATTGATGTATTGATGATTATTGAGGATGCATCTGTTGATGATGATGATAGATTGATAGGGTGATGATGATGATGATGATGATGATGCTGATGATGTTGTTGATGATGATGTATTAAGATGATAATGGTGTTACTATTGATGATGATATTCAGTCACGATGATGATGAAATATATTACGATGCAAGAGACAAACCATGCAGATGGGAATTGTATGTATGTGGGTGTATGTGGTGTTTATGTATTTATGTAATAAAAATGTCTTTAAAAATAAACAAATTATATAATATTCTTTTCGACCGTAGACAACTGTTTATAAACTACACCAATTCTCAACGACCATATACAAACATTCACAAGCTACACCATTTCGACATTAAACAAGTTTTCATTAGCTGATCAAATATTCAAGAACAACAATCTTACAAGCTAAACCAATTTTTGTCAATACCAGACAACTCTCTATAAGCTAAACCTATTCTTGACAACAACAGACAACTGTCTATAAGCTAGACCAATTATTGACAACAACAGACAACTGTCTATAAGCTAGACAATTATTGACGACACTAAACAGTAATACAGGTAAACCAATATTCAAGGACAACAGACAACTGTCTATAAACTAGACCAATTATTGACAACAACAGACAACTGTCTATAAGCTAGACAATTATTGACGACACTAAACAGTTATACAGGTAAACCAATATTCAAGGACAACAGACAACTGTCTATAAGCTAGACCAATTATTGACAACAACAGACAACTGTCTATAAGCTAGGCCAACTATTGACAACAACAGACAACTGTCTATAAGCTAGACCAATTATTGACGACACTAAACAGTTCTACAGGCTTAACCAATATTCAAGGACAACAGACAACTGCTAACAAGTTAAACCAATTCTTGACAAGATCAGACTAATGTCTAGAAGTACGTATGTAAGTATTTATAATATTCAACAACATCATTTGATATAGCGCCCTATCTAGCTAACATAAGCCACGCTAAAGCGCTTTACAGTACATAGATATACAAATGTATACAGCCAATACAATAAGCATATCTATTAATCAACACAATATTGAGGAATTCGCAGGAGCTGCCTTATCAGGCACTAACTACTAGTACTATGCCACCTGGCTAATATCTCCCTATGTGTGTATGCCTGTGTGTGTGCTGGAGATGTATTGTGTCAAATGTATATGGGTATGTATATGTGTGTGTATAAGTGTTATTTTGATTTTACATGTAGTGATTATGATACTGTTGTATATGTAAACACGTCTGGGTGTATGTGTTTTGTGTGAAATGTGGTAGTATGTTCTTGTTCTGTAGATGTCCAATACTCTATGTACAAATGTTTTATTTCCCAATCAAATTTCTGAATGTTATATTGATGATTTTTTATCAAATTGAAATTTTTTAATTTAGATAAAATTAGCAGAGAGAAAACTGAATGAGAGCCCTCCTGTGTGAGGATACCATATTGTTTAGGGGACTGACTCCACGGCTCCCTAACCCTGGCATTTCCTATCAAATTATTTATATATATTTGCATATACTTATCAGTATATTATGTATATATAAAAAAAATTGGCTGGGTAAAATAAAATATTTGGAAAAAAAAGATTACAACCTTAACCAATGGTTGACAACATAAAACAACTGCCTACAAGCAGGACCAATTCCTGACAATTCTCTACAAGTCTACCAGCCACATACTCGTTGGTTAGTGTCTTATAGAATCCTTAACGACATCAAACAAAATTACAAAATAGTTGATACGCATTGCTATTGATGAGTGAATAAGATTGCATTACCATATGAATTTGCCTTGTCAAATGCTGTGTCTACCAAACGCGATAAAAACTAAAACAGAAATAGAATCACACACAGAATATTGACAGTTTTGATGTTTTGATAAAACTTATACAACACAAATCTTGTATAACCACACGTCCAAACTGTAAACGTCACGTCGTTGTTTAGCTAACGGTTGTCGTGTAGGTGGGGGTATCGATCATATCGGTTACGCATGCGCGAGTTATCACACTGCTTAACCGTTCCTCCCCTTATGCGTGGTTCCAGTGCTGCAGCAAGTTTTCCAAGTAGGTGTCGCATAAAACCGGCCACTCCATTGAATGAGACTACACTTCTGTATCAAAGGCTATCGCGACTCTCATCTACCTCCTCCGAACCGACGTGCCTCGCCAAAGTTATAGGTAAGTGTCATTCTTAACTTTACATTTCAAAACATCAAATAATACAATTTGTATTCCACTTCTATTGCATTTCTACTTATTTTCACTCTGATACAAAAAAATAGTACATCAGTTTCATATATCTTTGGTTTAAACTTTGTTTTATTCAAATCATTTTGACAATACATTAAAATACAATTTGTCTATTTTATAGAACAGAAAAGGAAACAAACACAAGTGTCGTGACGTTTATGTAAATTTGTTACCTGTTCATGATCAATTTAATTAACACTTGCTACAGGAACTAAGTAATATGAATATTAGATCGAATACGGGACTAGGGGAGGGGGTAAATGATTGGTATGCAGTTGAGACCAGGAATGAATAATAGATCAATATGCATGTGATCATCAGATGGCTATAATGCAATGAGTATGCGGAACACGATTCTTTATCATATTATTTATGTTATAGTCGATGAAATTTTCAGCAATGCTGTAAATGGACACTCGCTGACTTTTATACATGTATATACAAATTACATATCACCAAATTACCACTGTATAACTATTGCCAAATTGATTTTGTCACAAAGCACTGCCATGATTACAAAAAAGTCGTTGTATACCTTTATTGAATCACAATGTGTGTTTTATAAATATCGTAAAGAGATTTTCTCGTCAAACTCTATCAGACTTTATTGGTTGATTGATGTAAATAATTGAATAAAAGGAAAACAATGATAGATCGGAATATGCTTGTACAATCGTCATGACGACAATACACTTTCGCTCTACTAGAATCAGGTAAAATAACAACGCGAAGCCAGATTGATCTTCCTATATCATTGTTATTTCGCGTATCGGTATCACCTAAGTTTACACTCATTTGCAGAGAAGTCGATTCGACTTTATCGACTTTTTAATGCCAAACAGACAATATCTGGAATAGACTTTAAAACTGATTCACTTTTAAAATAATAAATTTGCTGCTGTCTACTTTATATGTGCTCAGTGAACGTTGATCAAATTTTCTTGAATTGTTTATCTCACAAAACACAAATTTGATTGAAAATGTAAATTAAATTAAAAAATTACATGAATAAATGCCTTTTACTATAACCAGCAAAAAAACACACCAAAAAACATCTACAGTGATCATTAGGGGCTACCTGAGTTACGTCACTTTAAATGACCAAGGTGGCGCAAACGAAAGCAGGTGCGTGTCACGCATGCCGTAATTAACACATTTCGACATTTTTTCACGACTCCGTCGTTCCTGATTACATGCCATGTTGTCCAAGCAATCTTATGAAGCTAATATTAAGAAACGATTCTTGAAGACCTATTTTGTAAGTAGCGCATATTGTTCGTAACTTCACCCCTCTTGGAAAGATGCAGTTAACTTAATTACATCTAAAGCATAGTTGTATTAGATTTCCCTCCTGATTTCGGCTTTAATTGTTTGAGATTGTGAACGAATTATTCAATTGATTTCCAGAATTATTCATTTCTTTTTTGTTAGAATCGTCATAAAGTCATCACATTGGATCTTTCAAAATATCTTGAATAACAATCATATTCGTGATAAAAAAGTAAAGAAATAAACTAAAAAAGTTGGCAAAAAGATTAACAAAAACAGTTGTCAGTTTATACTAAATTTCAGTATGCATTGTTTTTGTTCTATTACAACTCGTAGAGCTTGCAGAAATATTTAAAAATTTGAAAAAAATGTATGATTTGTTTTTTTAAATTAATTGTTTTATGAAGTGTTAAGATATCATTGTTTTTTTTATGTTTCTAAGTTCCTCTTGTTGCAGGCTTTTATCAATACTGATTTCAAATTGTGTCCTAGTGTGTAGTCGCTGTACTTGGTAATTCGTGTTTCTGTTCATGTTGAACAGTGTTGTGGACTAGAACACTGATAGTGCTGTTTCCAAAATGAAATGAATATTAGTTACAACATTAGCCGCTAATTTATGGATTTGGTCAAGGAACTAAGCATCCCGTTAGTGTTATCTGAACTTATATACTTTATGCTTCGAACAGAATATAAACACACAAATGAAATACAGACCTATCCAGTTACATACGTTAATATTGTATTAATCCATTTCGCCTGATCGAACACCAGTTTTATTGTCCAGAGTTGGATAAAAATGCACACGCTAGTAAATAACGTTGGAGATTATTCGAGTGATGAAAATAAAGATTTATTTATAGATGTCCAACAGAATGTATCGAGTACACGCAGGTTTTAATATCGTCACGTTCTTGTGGCTCTTCTCCATCAATCCTCGTGATCTTTTATATTCATTTCTTAGTTTGTGTCCGAATTACATGGCAAAACGTACACCAGTGTGTTCCTAATTATGCTACTGAACCTCTGTAATGTCTTTTGAGTGCGCGAGTGCGCGAGAGCGTGAATGCAAGAATTGCGCATGCGCTAGAATGGATGCGTGAGAGTGTGGAGATGGATGCGCGTTCCTTCTGTAAATAGTTCCACTTACCGATGTATACAAGGTATGTAATATAGGCATGTGATGGGCCAATCAGTTATAGTCAGTGCAGTGGAAACGAAATTTTGAGAAGTAAGGAGTAAGCCACTAAGCACGGGATGTGACGAACTGTTGATTAGCTGGAAGTATAAACTAGTGTCAGAATATCACTGCGCTGACTGTTCTGTATGGTACCATTTTAATGACGAATATTTAAAATTTATCGGTATATAATAGTAAGAGTTAATGTTTTTATTATATATTTAATATTGTACAATCTCTCTCTCTCTTCATGTAACTTGAGCCAAATCCTTTTGCTTTTTGGCAATAACATATTTATAAACTAAACGTTGGATACAAAAGAGAATTCTAGTAAACGACGTTTGATATAGTTTCAGCGATAGTGTCCAAATTTGATAAATTTGTGAACTTAAGTATAATGTTCAATATCTAATATAAATGCGAGCCAACTCAATAGAACGACATTTGCTTGAAATATAAGTTAAAATATCTAAAGTTTGATATAAATGAGAACTCCAGTGAACGAAGTTTTATAAAAATGTTTAATGTTCATCATTTGCTATAAATGCGAAACGCGAATCCTATGAAAAACGTTTGATAAACATCTCATTTAGTATGAACAACGTGTGGTATAAATATCATCTAATGTATAAAGCGTTTGATATAAATGTTGGTAATAGTGTAAAACATTTCATAAAAACGTGTGATAAAAATGTCACTTATAGGGAATGACATTTGAGTAAATAAATGTAAGTTATACCAAACTACGTTTAATATAAACGTCAGGTAAAATGTTCCACGTTTGATATAAATGTCCGTATTGTACACTGTTTTATATAAATGTCACTCAAAGTGTACAACGTTTTGTATAAAATCAGCTAAAGTGTACAACGTTTTATATAAATATCAGCTAAAGTGTATTATACTAGATACAACTGTTTGTGGACGAAATTAGATATAAATACCAACTAATAGATGAAAGAATTTGATATAAATACCAACAGTACTGTCGTACGTTTGCTATGAATGCCAATCAATTTGTTTACATATTTCATCAACCGTTCGGTGTTTGACACAAATACTGACTCATTTTACGACCTTTGACTCAAACACAAACTCAAGTGTTAGGCGTTCGAAATACAAGGGACTAGTTTCACGTTGAAGGTTAATCCATGTATCACGAATCGATAAAAACAGAGATACTATCATTATAGGGGACATTTGAATAATTAATTGACCTTCAAACGCGCACATAGACATTAACTGCTTCGCGTTAGATTCATTTAGCCTATGTATTGCATGGCTGTAATTTTCTTGGATTACAGTATTTTCCTTAAGATTTTGCTTAGAATTTCCTAGAATGTTATAATTTTTAAATCAAGTTTCTAGTTTAAAAGTTACAACGAATTACAAACAATTGGGAAAGAAACATTTTGCATGGATAGAGTTCGAAAACATCAATATCGATAATGCTAATCATTTCTTGTTAATCGCTCAATCAACCTATGCTGGCCTTGAATAAAATACCATAAATCAATGTAATTAATGAAAGTAACATCAATCCTAACAACTTTAGACAATTAGTTTGGATTCCACAGTCAAGCCTCATTGTAATACACACAACACGAACCTGTTCGTCAGGCCTTGAAGGGGAAGTTAAATAAAGCACAACCAAGGTCTATGACGTTTAATTTGTATAGAATGAAGGACAAAGATACTATCGCATTCCAAAGTAACACCAAAGAGAGACCCATGGGTTTTAGTTATGGTGCTGACCTTTTCTAGACACGGAATCGTCCGGGTTATAATTGTCGTGTTACAAGAAAAGATCGAAACGTGCAAATAAAAATATATTTCGGGGTTCGTTATGAGGCGTGTTAAGCTCCCACGTTTAGCAACAACCACCGAACACAGAGCTGTACAGCATGAAACAGGGAAGAGAAAGTTGAATACAAATGATCTCGTGAAAATATCACCGTCTATGTTTAGATTTTTAATTCAAATAACATGCATGTTATACAGACAATATATCAAAAGCAAAATTTCTCTAGTGAGTTAAAATCCAAGCAGATAACTTATTTGAGATCATATGTAAATATGATATTTCGCTCAAATATTTTAACTTTAATTTTAAGTATGTTATTTTCATTATATAATATGAAATTATCAAATTTCCTCTTGATAATTGCGAAGGTTACATTCAATTGTTAAATATAAACATTTAATGTTCTTGAGATATAAAGAAACTGAAAATATATATATATGTCACCTTTAAAACAACGCATGCAGTCTTGGGATTTTCAGACTTTATCAAAACATATGTACTTCAAGCAAAATATAAATGAAAAATCGTGCCAGACACGTTTTCATTATGTATCACGTTATCACGTACTTTTCAGGAAATCCAACTGACACATCGCGTATTTACAAGTTCCAATAAAAAACCCGGCGATATTTCGCAGGATCTACTTCCGGTTGACTTCAAAAAAGTTAATTACCTTGA